TAGGCTGTGACACACGGCAAGGCAGTGGTAGCAAGCTAGAGCAGGCGGTGACAGGACAAAAGTGAGGTCAGAAAGAGCAAGGGGGTGCTGGGAATGTGGGGGCAGGGGTGGGCAGAAGGCAAAAGGCTCCCTGTAGAAGAATAAGAAGGACATTCCACATGGAATCGTGAGGCGGCAGTTCACGGTCTGTGCCCCTGAGAAACATGCCATGTCTACACCACACTCCGATTCCATCGGTGTAGACTCAGAACCAAATGAAGGTGGAGTGGAAATTATCCCAGGATCTAACACAAAGACAAACAAAAGCTGAACGTGAGGACTTGGTTGCTGCTGTTAGCTGCCATCGGTCAACCCAGACTGTCAGCAACCCTGCGTCTGCAGAGCAGAACTGCTCCAAGGGTTTTTAGGCGGGTGACTTTCTGGAAGCAGACTGCCAGGCCCATCCTCCTAGGCACCTCTGGCTGGGTTCAAACCACCAACCTTTCAGCTAGTGGTCAAGCACTTAACTATCTCTGCCACCCAGGGATTCTACATAACGACTAGAAAAACCAAACTCATTGCCATGGCGTCGATTCTGACTCACAGCAAGCCTATAATAATACAGAAAACTGCCCCATGGGGTTTCCAAGGCTGTACATCTTGATGGAAGCAGACCGCTAAACCCTTCTCCAATGGACAGGCTGGTGGGTTCTAACTGCTGACTTCTGGCTTCCAGCCGAGCACTTTAACCGCTGCACCACCAGGGCTCCTCTATAAAAGGACTGGAGATGGAAAAGGAGGAAGTGATACTTCTAAACCGGTCTCGCTGTTCTCTACCGAGGGCTGTGGGCATTCAGTTAAAAGCAAACAAGAAACAAAAAACAAGCATCAGCTTGGCATTGATCTCTGATGTGTGCTTCTATTACCTGTGATTCAGTTCATACAAGTAAATAACATAAATACGGTTAATACTTTGCAGAGATTACGGACAGGCATCTTAGGGAAATATTGATTTGAAGGGAAAAAAGGAGGGAAACGGAAGTACATGCACATATTTTTGTATAAAAACCTATTATGATGACTTTTTCTAAGCATTTTAAAATACTACCATATAAAAATTCTGATTTGAATTTGTAAAAAAATCCTGAAATGAACATACATCAAACCTCATGTTTGCATCTCTAGACACAGCTCTGGGAACAGAACATGAAGAGACAGGTAACTCAAGCCACAAACTGCACCTACTTCTCCCATATCCACTGTCTCGTGATCTGATACTACACATTGACAACAACAGTGAGAAAACTACTCCCCAACCATCTTGTGCATTGACAACGTACATTTGGTAGAAAAGAACGCCGAGGTGAGAGGAACCCTGGCTGTGATGGTTAGGGTTCTGTCTCAACTTGGCGGCCCAGAACTTCAGTGGTTTGGCAGTTACGTAATGATGTAACTTGGCAGTTAGGTGATGATGTAATCGTCCTCATTTTATGATCTCATGTGATGAGCCTCCATTTTCACATGATGCTAACTCTGCAAGACGGCTTGGTCTTTGGAACCTAAGCATGATAAGGAAGGAGTGGGTGTATTCCAAAAGGTCAAAGCCAAGGTTGCTGACCACTCCTTGGCTCCTCTGTATAAACTGAAACAGGGTATCACTTGTGGGGGCGAGCTGGCTGCAAGTCAGTAAGTGGGCCCTCAGTATCCACACCCCCATGCAACGAGGAACCTGTTCAAATCCCCGTGGCAGCCCTGCCTAGGGCCAGGCACATGAAGGGAGAGGGAAAACCAAGGAAGTGTACTGATCATGCTTAGTTGCTGTTGTTGTTGTCTCACTACACGCGAAAAAGATGAGAAAGAACCCCGGACCTTGAACTTCATCTGCTGTTCAATTCTGTGCTAGACAATGACACAGAAAGCAGCTGGCCCACAACATGAGTGAAATGGAGGTTCTCGCTCCAGCTAAGATCATTGTGTGTAGGGACAACAAGGTCCTGCCACCTCTGTACAGGCTTGCCATCTCCTCGTCTTCTGCCTTCTGAACCTTTCAGGCCCAACCCCCAGGAAGAGCAACTGCCAGCCTATGTATTTTTTCAAGTTAGAAGAAAAACGGGTTCAAGCTTGTGAAAATGGAATCTGTGGGTGGGGAAAATGGTTAAGTGCTCAACTGTTAACTGAAAAGTTGGCACTTTGAATCCACCCAGGTGCCTCGCAAAAAGGCCTGGCCGTCTGCTTCCAAAAAGTCACGTCCTTGAAAATCCCACAGAAGTCAGTTCTGTTCTACAACACATGGGGCCACGGTGAGCTGGAACTGACTAAATGGCAACTTGCTTGGCTTCTCTTTCTTATAAAAGGACATGATGCTATTCTGGCTAGCTCCAGTGGTCCCAACTAAGTAACTGAGTAGACACTTCCCACCTCACTGGGAACTTCACACACACACTCTCTGAACTATCCAAGCACACCACTGGATGAAGAAGCAGAAGGCTGCTGGCAAAAGGACTGCCCTATGGGGACGGCAATCACCGCGGACAAGTCTCTAGTTCTCAGCTTGCATCATAACAACAACTGTAATCAGCATCATCAGAATTGCTGTTGGTGTTAGGTGCCATCGAGTTATTTCCACCTCACAGTGACCCTGGAGGAGCTCTGGTAGCATAGTGCCTAAAGCACTTGACTACTAACCAGAAGGCTGGCGGTGCAAACCCACCAGCCACTCCTCGGAAGGAAGATGGGGCAATCCTACTTCCGTAGTGATACTGCCTCGGAAACCCAAGGAGGGGTTGCTATGGGTCAGGTCCGACTTGACGGCACATAACAACAACAGTGACCCTGGGTACAACAGACTGAGACACCGCCTGGTCCTGCACCACTCTCACAATCAGTGCCATGTTTGAGATGATCATGGCAGCCCCTGTGCCAGTCCGTCTCACTGACGGTCTTGCTCTTCTCTGCTGTCCCTCTACCTTACCAAGCACGATGGCCTTCCTCAAGGATGGTCCCTCCTGAAAACAGGTCCAAAACACGTGAGAAGACAAAAAGTCTCACCACGTTCGCTTCTAAGGCGCTTTCTGGTTGTACTTCCTCCAAGACAGATTCGTCTGTTCTTCCAGCAGTCCACGGTGCACTCAATATTCTTTGCCAGCACTGTAATTCAAAGGCATCCATTCTTCTTCAGGCATCCTTACTCACTGTCCAGCTTTCGCATGCATATTAGGTGACTGAAAACACCACGGCCTGGGTCAGGTGCACCTTAGTCTTCAAAGTGACATCTTTGCTCTTCAGCACTTTAAAGAGGTCTTCTGTAGCAGATCTGTCTGGTGCAATACGTCATGTGACTAATCATCACTGAATGTTTCTTATCACTAAGAGGAGCAATGCCTACTATGTGCCTGATGATATATATCAACACATTTAATCTTTGCATTAACCCAGTGAGAGAAGGCGTCATTTTATGTTATGGATGCAGAAACTGAGACCCAGGGGTTTTGAAGCTTGCCCAAGGTCACACAGCTGGTTAAGTAGCTACAAGAGAGGATCAAGTGGCTACAGACATGTATCCAGTTCAAATGGGAGAGAGATGAGCAAATCCCCAAACTGCTAAATCAATTTCTAAGTACAACAGATGTTAATATTAAGAAATGTTCTATTTTCATGTTTTATATAATTCTGTACTACATAGCTTTACACTCAGCAAAGATAGTTAAACGATTTACTTGAATAGTAAACCAAAACAAACCAAACTCACTGCCGTCCAGTCAATTCGACTCACAGCAACCTTGGATTTCTAAGGTAGTTACCTCTACAGAAGTAGATTGTCCAATTTTCCTTCTGAGGAGTGGCTGGTGGGTTTGAACCATCAGCCTTCTGGTTAGCAATCAAATGCCTTGGGCACTATACCACCAGAGCTAAGAAGGTGAAACTTTTAGGTAGAAGTACGGGGTTAGAACAAGGAACGGACACATAGACAGATACAACAGCACCAGTAACACTCCAATTCTTAAACTGGATGTGGCTGATGAGTAGTCATTTAACAATTATGTTTCATAATCAACATGTGAGTAAGTTTGTGTGTGTATGTACTTGTATATGTAACACCTTATAATAAGCATGTTTTAAAAATGTAAAAGTGGTACAATGGTAAAAAAGGGCTAAAGTTCTCATCCATGATTGTGACATGATATAATTACCACAAAATTTATTAGTGATTCAGTATCACCCCTGACATGAGAATAAAGGGCTTTCTGGTGGCCACCTGTGTCATGTTAGCCAAGCCACCCAGGAAACAATTACAAGCAGTCCGCTGATAAGGAAAGCCAGTTACCTGGAGGGTTGAAGGGAAGCAGTTTGATACAGGATAGCTGACTGATAAAGGATGAAGATGCAGCAATTACAAAATAAAGAAATAGCCCAAGCGCATGATGAGGGATGGGTAAGACTCAGAACATGAGTGACTCTGGCAGGATAACTGAGCATGTGAGTTAACGGGACATGAACTGCTAAGAGTAATAAAATCAGTAAGAAGGCCTGGACCATATGCCGGGACATTCAGGCACCGGGAGTCAAAAATCCTACAAAGTACCTTAGAAACGATGGTTACTGTGTCTATTGACAATGACCATGAAGAACAAAAACAACACACACACATACACACACACACAGGCCAACGCTAGTCAGCAATTGCTTTGCTGAGCTAATCAAGGGGCTTTTTTGCCAGACGTTCTCATGGAGCAGAATCATTACCAAAACGTACGTTAGCAAAATAAATAATGTCATGGTTCTGGCATAAGATAAATGTGCAAAGTGGAAATTTCCAAAGAATTGGTGATTTTATTAATGGCAGGTGATATTCACTGGGTGAGCATCTTTAAGAATGGGAGCTCTCCCAGGCCACCAAGTTGTATACTCACTGCTGGGTGTTTTATGGTCAAGTAAGGGAAGGACATGCACGTTGCTACTGATTAATCCTACAACTGCCTTCACTACAAACTAAGATACGAAATTACTGTGAAATGGAATACCTGGAACACTTGCAGGAGAGATTGGGCCAGACCGTGACTGGTTGCTCCCGACGGGAGAGCCGACAGGAGAAGGTGACGGGCCCCCTGGGATGCTGGAGAGGTGTGGGGACGCGTGTGGGGAGAAGGGCGACTGCGCCGGGTTGCTCTGATCCCCTTGGCTGCTCGTGGACCCGGATGCACTAACTGCCGAGCTCAAAGTTGCTTCGGTTCCTGTGGGGAGGTCATCAATGGAGCCGGACAGGTCCTGAGAAAGAAACAGCATGTGAGTAAAACATACGTGGAGAAATAATGATATTGATACACTGTGAAAAACACACCCAATGTCACTGAACAATATGCACAGACATTGTTAAATTGGAGCTTAATTTGCTTTTAAACTTTCAACAAAAATACAATTTAAAAAAAGTCTCTGGATCCATACAAGACTGCTGAAGAATCCTAACAATGGCCATTCAGAGAGAGGAAGTGCTTCTGGGTGACATCCAAAAGCCTCAGCGCACGGCCACTTGTTACAGAAACACTGAGAAGGTATCTCACAGGATAAAGCCACATGAACACGCCTTGTCATTAGCTACTATCCAGTTGGCTTGCAACCCCTCACAACCCCACGCATAACGGCACCATACCGTTACGATCCACAGCACTTACTGGCTGATTTTCCGATCACCAGGCCTCTCCTCCCAGCCTGTCTTAGTCTGGAAGCGCCGTGGAAACCCGTTCAGCATCCTCGCTGCACACGGCCTCCACTGACAGCCGGATGGTGGTTGTGCATGAGGGGCACTGGCCGGGAATCGAACTCTGCGCTCCCGTGTGGAAGGCAATCATTCTACCCCTGGGCCACCAGTGCCCTCTTGAGAACATGGCTGTCTTCCAACAGATGAACAAAGCTGTATGTTCCCTTCATAAACCATTCTTGTACAGCTGTCCTCCCGGTGGTCAACACTGAGTGCAGTGAAACTGCTCTGAGAGCCACACAACAGCCTGTCCTTCCTGTGGTCACCCATCATTTGAATGGAAAGGGCTAGCTCTAAAGGAGGACTTCCACACACTGAACTACTACACACCGGGGTCCTTTCATTTAGGAGCCAGCACCGGAGGAATGTTCGAATTTCAAACTAGGAGACTCTAACGTAATGGCAGTCAAAGTCTTAACCAGATGAGGTGGTCAAAAACTGTTACTCTTGAAGTATCTACAAGATTGCCATTATAGAAAAGAGTGATATATTTTTATCACCACTTATCTGCCAGTTTGTCTTACTAGGGTAGTATGAATGTTGCTGTGACACGGGAAGCTATGCCACCAGTATTTCAGATTCCGGTAGAGTGACCTGTGGTGGACAGGTTTCAATGGCATTTCCAGACCAAAACAGACTGGGAAGAAGGATGCGGTGGTCCACTTCAGAAAAAAACTGGCCACTGAGAAGCTTGTGGGCAGCAGCAGAGCACTGTCTGACACAGCACCGGAAGGTAAAGCCTCAGGTTGGAAGGCACTCAAACTAACTAGGGAAGAGCTGTCTCCTCAGAACAGAGGTGACCTTGATGATATGCAAGGAACAAAGCTTTCAAAACCTTCATCTGCTGATGGGACATGACTCTAAATGAGAAGAAACAAGTGCAAAGCATCCATTAGTAATTGGAACATGGAATGTACAAAGTATGAATCTAGGAAAACTGAAAGTTGCCAAAAAATGACATGGAACACTTGAAGATTTATGTCCTAGGTATTAGTGAGCTGAAATGGACTGGCATTGGCCATTTTCCAATGGGACAATCATATGGTCTACTCTGCCAGGAATGGCAGATTGAAGAGGAATGGGGTTGCATTCATTGTCAAGAAGAACATTACAAGATCTATCCTGAAGAACAATGCTGTCAGTGATAGGATAATATCCATAGGCTTCCAAGGAATACCAGTTAATAAGACTATTATTCAAATTTATGCACCAACCACTAATGCCAAAGATGAAGAAACTGAAGACTTTTACCAACTTCTGCAGTTGAAATTGATCAAATGTGCAATGAGAAGCACTGATAATTACTGGTGCTTGGAATGCAAATGCTGGAAACAAAGAAGCAGCATTGGTAGTTGGAAAACATGGCCTTGGTGAAAGAAATGACACAGGAGCTTGCATGATGGAGTTCTGTAAGACCAATCGGCTATTCTTTGGGAATACCTTTCTTCAACAATATAAATGACAACTATACACGTGGACCTCAACGGATAGAATACACAGGAATCAAATCAATGACATCTGTCAAAAGAGGCTGAATGTGGAACAGACCACCAACAGCTCATATGCGAGTTCAAGTTGAAGCTGAAGACAATTAAAGTTCACGAGAGCCAAAGTATGACCTTGAGTATATCCCATCTGAATTTAGAGATGGACCATCTCAAGAATAAATCTGACACACTGAACGCTAATGACCAAAGAGTAGACAAGTTTTGGGATGACACCAAGGACATCATACATGAAGAAAGCAAAAGGTCATTAAAAAGATAGGGAAAAAAGTCCAAAATGGATGTCAGAAGAGACTCTGAAACTTGTCCTTGTACAGAGAATAGCTAAGGCAAATGGAAGAAACGAGGAAGTCAAAGAGCTGAACAGAAGATTTCAAACGGCAGCTCAAGAAGACAAGGTAAAGTATTATAAATGAAATGTGCCAAGACGGAGTTAGTAATCCAAAAAGGAAGACAGAACATGCTTGGCATTTCTCAAGCTGAAAGAACTGAAGAAAAATTCAAACCTTGAATTGCAATACTGAAAAATTCTTTAAGTAAAATACTGAATGATGCAGGAAGCATCCAAAGAAGATGGAAAGAATACACAGAGTCACTGTACCCAAAATAACTTGTTGATGTTCAATCATATCAGGAGGAAACATATGATCAAGAACTGATGGTACTGAAGAAAGAAATCCAAGCTGCACTGACGGCCTCCAGGAACTGACAAAATATCAACTGAGATGTTTCAACAAATGCATGCAAAAAAGGGAAGCCCTCACTCATCAATGCCAAGAAATTTGGAAGGCAGCTACCTGGCTGACCAACTGGGAAGAGACCTGTATTTGTGCCCATTCCAAAGAAAGGTGACCCAACAGAATGCACAAATTATTGAACAATATCATAAATACCACACACAGGTAAAATTTTGCTACATGGTATGCAACAGTACATTGACAGGTAACTGACAGAAATTCAAATCAGATTCAGAAGAAGACAAGGAGTGAGGGATATCGTTAGTGATGGCAGATGCATCTTAGCTGAGAGGAGAGGACACCAGAAAGACATTGTGATAGTTGGAGCTGTGTGTCAACTTGGTTGGACCCCAGTTCTGTGTGGCTGTTCCCATGATGGGATCAGATGACTGTGTTCTGAGTGGCCAATCTGTTGAAGGGGAGTTTCCCGAGGGGTGTGGCCTGCTTCCAGTATATCCAGGGACATCCTGGGAAGAGAGACATTCTATTGTGGATCGGGATTCTGTTGTGCTGCCTACAATTGTCCGTGAGTGAGCAGTTCACGTTCAGCCTGGAGATCTTGGATTCGTCTTTCGTTGGAGTCAACAGCCGGTGTACTGCCTGCCAGCCTTGAGCTCCTCAGCCCCTGTGGTTGTGGGAGCCAGAAAAAGCCTCCAGCTTGATGTTTGATCCAGGAACTTTGGATCTGCCGGCTTCTATATGTGTGTGAGCTATTTTCCTAAGATAAATTTCTCTCTCTCTATCTATATAAGCTTTGCTGTTTTTTTGTTTCTCTAGAGAACCCAGTCTAACACAGACGTCTACCTGTGTTTTATCGAGCATGTAAAGGCATTCAACTTTGTGTACCATAACAAATTATCGATGACATTGCGAAGAATGGGAATTCCAGAACCCTTGATTGTGCTCAAAAGAACCTGTACATAGAGCGAGAGCCAGTCACGTGGTTTAATATCAAGAGAGGTGCATGTCAGGGTTGTATCCTTTCACCATACTTAATCAATCTGCATGCTGAGCAAATAATCTGAGAAGCTGCACTATATAAAGAAGAACCCTGTAGATCAGGAACTATGCATTCAAGGAAGATTATGGACTCAAGGAAGACTCATTAACAACCTGTGATCTGCAGATGACACAACCTTGCTTGCTAAAAGCAAAGAGGACTTGAAGCACTTACAGATAAAGATCTAAAACTACAGCCTTCAGTAAGGATTACACCTCAACATAAAGAAAACTAAAATCCTCACAACTGGACCAATAAGCAACATCATGATAGAGAAAAGATCATATTTCTCAAGGATTTCATTTTACTTGGACCCTAAATAAACACCCACAGAAGCAGCAGTCAAGAAATCAGATGTCATACTGAACTGGGCAAACCTGCAAATGGCTTCTTTAAAGTGTTGAAGAGTAGACATCACTTTGATAACTTTGGGTCTGACTCACGTCATGGTATTTTCAATTGGTTCATATGCATATAATAGATGGGAAATGAATAAGGAAGTCCGAGGAAGAACTGATGCCTTTGAATGATGGTGTTGTCAAAGAACACTGAATATTCTATGGACTGCTAGAAAAATGAACAAATCTGTCTCAGAAGGAGAACAGCCAGAATGCTCATTATACATGAGGACATAGAGGTTCATCTCACGAGCTTGGGACACAACCCAGGAGGGACCAGTCCCGGGACGAGGACGTCACGTTTGGTAGTAAAAAAACTCGCTGCTGTCCAGTCGATTCCGACTCATAGTGACCCCTCCTTGGGTTTCTGAGGCAGTATCTCTATGGAAGTAGATTGCCAACCTTCCTTCCGAATGTTTGCTAGAGGGTCAGTGAAAAAGAGGGAGATCCTCAATGAGAGGCTCAGAGAGTGGCTGCCCCTGTGGGCCCCAGTGCAGCAAAGACTGAGGAGAGCGCAGGACGGAGCAGTGTTCTGTTCTGTCGCACACAGGCTGGCTATGAGTCGGGACTGTCGAGATGCCACACAGGCTGGCTATGAGTCGGGACTGTCGAGATGCCACACAACAACAATGTATTTTTATATGATATCGTGGAATTGAATCCCTTTGCAGTTACACTGGCAGGACTGAGTCCTAACGTTATCCCTTCATATAGTTTTTGTAACAACTTTATGCTAAACAGAGAATTTTTCATGCCCTCTGAGTTCATCATAGCAGCCTCTGAAGCAGTTCCTGAAACCCCCATCTGACAGCTTCAGAAGCTGAAGGTCAGAGTGTCAGGTGACCGCCGAAGGTCACCCCACTGAAGACA